ATGCCTCATGCTTAAGAGACTCTGAATCGTCATATATTTTAATTAATCACTTCGTTTTTATAGGTCTTGTGCTTGAGAGGATGTGGATCGATGTGTCTATAATTATCCAACACCACTTATCAACAACAGTCGACATCCCATTTTCTCTAGAGAACTCTGAACCCTAGAAGGATAACTAAATTGGCATTGGCGAGTTGAAGCCAGCCCCGGGTCATACTGACTAGCTCACAATGATATGTTATATTGATGAAATCATCCAGCTAGGAGGTCGGCTCGTCTTTAAAGCAGGAAGTTGTCTTAGCTTCGAGTCATGTAACATATTTAGGGTATGAGTTACATAGTTAAGATCAAGACAAAAGAGCAAGCCAGTGATTGACCATAATGAAATAACAACCATAATAATAAATATCAAGAAAGCTAGATTGAAGAGTGTAACTATAAATATAATAGATCAAGACAAAGAATGATATCAATTACTCACATATAAGTCATATCAAGGCTTTGTTTAGTCAATACATGTAGGTCATATACAATGTATTTTTGCAAGTACAACAAGGAAATCCTTCGCTTCACCAGCAAGCTTGATGAATTTTGGGACTTTGATCCTTCGATGAAAGTAAACATGACGTATGGTTCATTTGCACAATCCACGTTATATCCATGCATATTCATAACTTATTCTACAATCTTGTGAAAATCTTATTCTCCGATGTTCTTCCTTATTTGTTGATTTGCATTATACTCTCTCCGGCCATTATTATAAATAAATATTCACTTTTTAGTTTTATTGAATGATAAATGTATATGATCTTTTATATAGATCATATATATTTATTATTCAATGAACTTAAAAAAAGAATCTTTGCTTATAATAATGGTGAAAAAGAGTATATATTTTGGTTCCTATTAACTATAAATAAGTTTAGAGAATTAAAATGAATCATTCAAATAAAAAACATGTTAGGATTCTCTTGAATTTTTTATTATTATCACAATCACTGGGTAATTCATCCAACTTTTCTAGACAATGCTAGGTATGTAGAAATTGTGTTATTTTTTCTAATTGTGTTAAACAAAATGGTAATCTGGTTCATAATCATGATTGTCATCTAATGACTATTATCCTATAGGAGTATTTGTTTTCTAGGGAAGTGCAACATATTGTTGGTAATTGGAGAATATTTTTAACTCTCCTTAAGTTCATGAAAGAAATTAGTGTTGCTAGTTTCTGGAAGGTCCATTCGAACCTCAAAAATTCTTGTTGCTTATTGGTGAGAAATAATAGTCATCATGGAAGGAATCATATATGCAACTTATGTGAGGGGACAAAAATTGGTGGCAAAATTAATCAAGTTACGTTTTGTATTTATCCTTCGAATATGCGAGTTTGAAATATTGGTATTAGTATTAATATGACTAATTATAAGATTCGAAGGTAATTCCTGAGATATTCCTAAGGTATGTTAACCTCTTGATTATTTTCATTAGAGTTATTATCATTTTGACTATTATTTTGATTTAGAAAAACTGATTTGAACCGTGCTAAATCATTTGCACTAAAGAATTAAAATTGAATGTGTGAAGTCATTCGGTCTAAAAATTGTCATCTATTGTCTAATTTTTGTTTTTAAAAAAAAGTTTGCGCTAAAACTAAATTCACATCCTTTACACAAAAGAAACTCCCGTTTCTTCTACATAATCACGTGAATCTATCATGTTCTGAGATTTTTTTTTCAACTATGTTTCATCATCATGTCATCTCATTCATATATAACCACGTTGTCCCTTTTTCTTTTGACCTAAACACATTATTGATCACCGTTAATCTGTCGTCCAACTCAATATTGACTTTTGTCGTTTACTTGTAACTTGTTCACTGTCGTTAACTTGCATTCAATCGTTGTAGTTTCAAGTTTCTTCGGCATTCTAGTTTGAGTTTAACTCACATGAGATTTGATGCTTGACTTCATAATTACAAATATTTATCTTTTTTATGGATTTAAAATGTATTGGTGTTTATTCTGGAATTTGATAAACAACCGCTAGTCTTTCAAAATAAATATATTTTTGGTTACTCAGAGGATAGACAAGATTGATCCTAGGACATATGTTTAGTTTTGGTGATTTATGGTTTTCGAATAGTTATCTTCTCAAATGTAATGGTTAATTGGTAAGTAATTGTAAAATTATGCGAAGTAACAGTTGGAAAGTAAAGAGATTTCGATGTGAATGTAAAAGAAATTAAAAGAACTTTCGTAAAGATAAATTGACAATTGAACAAAATTTGGTGATTTATATGTACATCCTCATAAAATCTTTTCTCGGTAATTGAGTATTTATACAGAATTTGAACACGCTAAAATCATAACACAAAGATTCTAATGTATACTAGTTCGACCATGACAGTCTTCTCCTAAAAGAATGTCACGTTCGATGTTTGCATGCCATTCAAATTTTCAGACTTTCGCGTGTCCTTTTGGATAAGATCAACACATTTGAATTCAAAATCTTCTTCCTTTTGAGGCGCCAAATCAACCAACGTGACTTGTCGAAATATTCATCTTCGAAACTTCAAATATCCCTTGTCCCGCTTATTCACGAAAATAGGATTTTTGTCAATATTTAACAAGATTAAACTATCCATAAGTCTGTCAGTCGAAATCTTCATGAAATATTCTCATATTTCTTTTAGAGCTAATTTTCCTTTGACATCATTCATTTCTCTTTAACATTCCAGGTCGTCGAAATTTCCAGCTAACAATTGGTCATGGATATTTTTTTAATTGTTATGAATTTTTAAAATACTTAATTTATTATGTTGTGAATAGGGGTGTAACAGATCAGAAAAATTGAATTGAATCGAAAATTCAAACCAAACCAAGTCGAAATAAAATCGATTATTTTTGGTTTGGTTCTAAAACTGAATCGAACCAATATAAATCGATGTGGTTTGGTTTGGTTCTCGGTTTTAGTTTTTAGGAACTATCAAACTGATGAACCGAATCAATGAAAATAATGAGGCTCTAAATATTTTATTTCATCCATCATTAAGCTCAAATTTTGTATCGTCAAATCATTATCTATCTTTGTTTACACTTCGTTCATTTTTGAAAAACACACATCTAGAACCAAACTCTAAAACATAGAAAGTAGAAATCTTAAGTCACAAAAAATATGTTTTCACTGGACTGCTGCTCTTATTACTCACCACCATTGTTCCTCTCACTACCGTCATTCTGATTTATTATGGTCATCTTGTTCGTATTCAAGTTCTCTTTGTTAATTTTCATATTTTTTTAACCTTTTTTGTTTCTTCTTCTTCAACAAAACTCCTTCTAGTCTTGTTACAAAATAGTTTTGATGTGTGTTTGAGGTGTGAAACGTGTTAATTGATGTGTTTTATTTTGTTATATCTATTAAACTTTAGAATTTCTTTTCAACAGTCTGATGTCAAGTGTTAACTTTTATATTTGATTGTGAACTTATTTCATGATGCAATGAAAATTATGTCACTGTATCGTATGGATTAAGAGCAACTTGTAATTTGTTTGAAAAAATAGAACATGAAAGAAATGACATGAAATGTATTATTTTAAAAAATAATATCATAAAATACACTCAAAAACACGATACAGTGAAGAATATACTGATGAATATAATGTTTAAAAAAATAAACATTGTAAATCGGTCAACCGAACCAAACCAAACCAAATCGATTACTTTGATTCAGCTCTATTTTTGATAAATGTTGAAAATCGAACCAAACTAAACTGATGAAAATATGTTCGAATCTTTTTTTGACCAAAAACCATTCTAAACCGATTCGAGTAGACCCCTAGTTGTGAACCTATTGAACATAATTTATTTATGAAATTTATCTCTATATTATTATTTTACTTATTATTAATTTACTATTAACGGTTTGACTGATAAGAGATGTGATTTAGTCTAATTCATTCCTATAAAATCGGATTTGTAAGGTGAGAAGTGTCATTGTATATAAATTATTTGTGGACTATATCTTTAACCAATGTGATACCTGAGTTTTTCTCAATACACTCCCTCACACCTCTTGCATCTAACACTATGGTGGATGATCCGAATTATAGGCTCGTGATACTATGATAGAGGTTAGAGATTGACCTAACTCGTATCTACAAAATCGACTTGTACGAAGATTGAACCTCACTTATAAAGACATTGAACCTCACTTATAAAGACATGTGCAAATCATATATTATCCAATATATTAGTTGATTTAATTAGATGAACTGATTAAATTTTGAGTAGAATATCTAGTCGACTTAACCCGGTCCTATTAAAGATTATCTATAACAAATATGATAATCGAACCAAGTAATTAAATAAGGAATAAATCATGCATATAACGAGATATAAGAATTAAAAAAATAAAGATTTAATAAGATCTATATAAAGGATCGGATAGACATGGCTAGGCCCGTGACATCCATGTCGTTCACGAGTGTTGACAATCTTCTTTCACTTTCACTCCGATTATCATCTTTGGCTTTGCTTTGCTCCACTCAATACAGGATCTCACCTATAGACTACATTTGTAAGTTACAATCCACTTATTAAAATCTATTCAACATTTTGTTTGATGCTCTTTTACTTCTATTTTCTCAATCTCATTTAAGATATTTGGTTTAATTTGTTTGTATCTATCTTCCTTTCAATTTTTCAGCTCAGAAAGTTAAATACTATGGATAATTTTATGTGATTATCCTCTTTTCATAGACTAAAATAATGAGAGTAATGTTTTTAACCTACAAAAGTGAATATCCTCTTTTATAGAAGATTCATTTCATTCATGATTCACCAATCAAAGTTTTTTTTTCTTTAATTATTTAAATATCACGACACTGTATCTTTTTATTTTCTTCTTCTTTATGCTGCTTACACATATATCATATATGTTATGTTGAATGCTTAATCATTTATTCTTTGTTTAGTTTGTAAGGGAAATATATGAGTAGAAGATGTTGAAGCAATCACCTAACAGAAACATGAGGACGAATGGCTACAAGGTTAAACAAGGTCTTAAAATATTTACTTTAATAGCTGCTGCCATTTGGTTGTTATACCAACTCAAACACTCACATGAAACCAAAGTACTTGGAAGGAAAGGGTTTGAGTTTTGGATGAAAAACCCGTATGAGTTGATGGGTGGTGTGAAAAAGAGAAAAAGTGATATTGTAATGGAAGAAAACAATGGTTTAGGTAATGATATTGTTGATCGAGATCGAGTGGAAGAGGAAGAACCTGAGGAAATAGAGGATGTGGTTGATGAAGAAGACAAAGAAGAAAATGAAGAGATGGAAGAAGATATGATGAGCTTATTTGAATATCAAGTTGAGAAAGACACACAAGTAACAACGGAAAGCCATAACAAAGAGACTCGTGTACCGTGAATTATCGACGCAATTATAAGTATCAGACACGATATTAACACTAATATATTTATATATGTAGTACTTTAAAAATAAAGTGGTTGAATGTAGTTGTGTCGGTCTCAAACACCACACACTTTTTTAATATTTATTACTATCACATAATTGATATATGCGAGGTTTTCAATATGGTTATAAATAGAGATGGAAAACGAAGATGCTCGTCCCATTAAGGCATGTCTCACAAAAGTTTGCAAAAGATGGAACGAGGTTGACATAGTAGAAGGTGCGAATATAAAATTTTGGTATGATTCACAAAAAATAAGGGTGGGACAGACTCGGCAGACCTTACACCTTTAAAGCTTTAAAGTTGCAAAACTTGTGCCAATACATGTGTTTGCAAAAACCCACAAAAATGTGGGGCGAACTTAGTATAAGGTGCAAGCCTAAAATTTGATTTGTACCACAAAAAAAATGTGGGTCAAACAGACATGTCCAACGAATTTGGGTCATTTTGTCACCCTTATAAAAACACTTGTTAAATAGATTTTACCCTAATTCTAACTTATATATAGCCGCCTCAAACTCGTACGCATCATTCTTTGAGATATATTGCAAGACAGAAAAAATCTTTAATGTTTTGTGTTCTTCTATCTTGAACAAAACATTTTTTTACATTTGCAATCTATCTCACATAATATTGTTTGTTGTTATTGTTGTATTTTTTAAATAACTTTCATATGTTGTCAATCAAAGAAAACAACATTGTTTTCCTCGGTTGACAACATTGAGAAATTTATTCCTAAACATGCTATAAAAAACAATGATTGGTAAAAAAATTAAATTGAAACATGACATGTTACTTTCAATTTTTTATCATTCACCATTTTTTTTATAACTTATTACCTCAGTTTTTTACTAGAACAGAGGGATTTCCTTATTTATTTTATTTTTATTTAAAAAAGAAAATAATATTTCCCTCATTTTTTTAACAAAACTGAGGGGTCTTGTTACACAGCTATAACAACAAATCTCTATCCTACATTCATAAAGGAATAGCGTTCAGGATATTGCCAATACATCAATCCAAAACAAACTATTACATCCACCACTATATATTTTATTCTCTTTCTTGTGAAAGCATTTGTTCAAAATAATAAAATATTTGCTTCAAATTAAAGAAGGTTGGAAAAGTTCTCTATGACGGATTACAAGTGCAGAAAATCATTCTCGTTTCAAGTTAAACAAAGAAGAGAGTTCAACCTTTGAAAAGATTAGAAGTCGGATGCATACTAGATATGCAACAAAATCTGGAATAACAACGACGATGATGAATATGGATTTATTTTAATCAATGTATTTTAATATTCTGTGTAAATAATGTAATGTTAAAAAAAAAATTATTTACCTTGGTTTTCTACTAAAACCGAGGGAGGGGTAAACATATTTTACCTTGGTTTTTGAAAAAACTGAGGGGATACTTTTGCGTGGTTATGGAGGATATTGACCACCGTTCTTAAAAAAAATCATTGTCGTCAATTTCATGAGTATCAACGCTGAAGACACTATCATTAGTGATCTGCGTAAAACATAAAAACTTTCATTATAAAAACATTCTAAATATCAAAAATTGATAATGAAACCTCATGAAGTGCTTGAAACTATCTACCTCCACCATTTTAAGGTTTACAAGAGCATTTGCCATGAAAAGATCTCTATGATGGATTGCAAGAGCAAAAAATTATTTGGGTTTAAGATTTGTATTCTTAAATATATTTATTAGAGCAGAAAATCATAAATTTATCTAACCCTTTTTTGTTTTATTTCATAAACATATGCAAACAAAAGTCATTGAAAATTTTCTGCATCCAACATTTGTTCTGCCCCAAAAATTATGGGTAAACAATTAGATCTTCGGGGAAATTAAATTTTACTTTAATATTATGTGTAAACAATATAATATTCTGGGTAAACAATGCAGTTTCTAAACAAATTAATTTATTAATATTATGTGTAAACAATGTAACGTATTTTTTTTAAAACAATTTATCTTATCCCTCGGTCTTATTGATAAAAACCAAGAAGTATGAAGTGTTAGTTTTGAAAATAATAGAAATGCAGATGTTGGAGTTCGAACTCACGTGCAGATAACTTAATCCCTCGGGTTTTTATTAACCGAGGGATAAAGTGGTTATTTTTCATGACGCCCTTCGTTATCTCACTTATTTAGTCGATGTTAACTACATTTCACCTCTGAGGTTAAATGTGTTTTTTATAGTATCCCTTTGAATTTGAAATTTCAAAAAAAGGAAGAAAATAAAAAAAAAATCTAAATACAAAAGTTGCACATGGAAATCTCAAAGTAGGGCATAGTTATGAGTAATGTTAAGTAAACAAAACGACGTCAACATTATATTATATTGTATGGGAACAGATTCTTCACAGTGACGCTTTCTTGCGGTAGAATCACATCCATTCTTTTTTCCCATAAACAATCAAATTTAATTGTAAGAAATTTGGGTTAATATCCGTTTATCCCCTGCCATATAGGCAATTTTTGAAAAATCCCTCTGTAAAAAAAATTTTGCAAAAATTCCTCTAACATTTGAAAATTCTCTCATTTATTAATTTTATCACATCCAGTCATCAAAAAAATTGATGTGGCAGGTATTTTTTTTTATTGACTTGGATGACCAAGTGGCTTTTTCATTTTAATTTTATTACTATTATTAATGCCAAAGCATATAATGGTCTCAAAAATATGTTCGAGATAGGAATTGAACCCATGTCCTTTCCTTCATAGCACGAGTGCCCTATCCACTGGGCTAGCTATTTCATTTTTTATTATAAACACATTTAATGATTGTTATAGCATGCGCTTACTGATTCATGAAGGACACTTCAAAATATTACAAACAGTGTAACAACAACCATGGCTCCATAAATTCATAAAGGACTAAAGTAAAAGGACGACACTAGGTGCATCTTAGCTGTTGTAGGTAAGTCTAAACGGTATGGAACGACACCAATTTTTCCATAATAGTAAAAGGACTAAAGTATCACAATCATGCTTTTTGATGCATATGTAATGCCACATTGTGTTGTCGATAAGGGTATAATTTCACGTGAACTTGTTCCCCTAAGTTGTATTCCATATGTCTGCAATGTTTACCAGCTTACTTTTCCATGGCTTATTGAGATCTATGTAAATTAGCTTGTAATTGTAGTAGCAGATCTTCTCTACGCAACATATAGATTTGTAAATCAGAGGTTCCTCCGAGCTGATGAGAGTGGGAGTGTCGTGGCCATAGAGAACTTTTAATGGTGTTATGGTTGCACTTACTTGGTATGAGGTGTTGTACCAATATTCTTCCCATATAAGAGACTTTAACCATTGCAATCGATTAGCAAAAGTGAGACAATGAAAATACATTTCAAGACTTTTGTTGAGTGCTTCAGAGTGACCATTCGATTGTGGGTAATAAGCCAAGCTCGTGGCTAAAGTAGATCCTTGTAACTTGAACAATTTGTATTCCCTATGAGAAACAATCGAAGTTGGCATGGGCTTAAGTTTATAGAGCCATGATTGTTATTACACTGTTTGCAATATCTTGAAGTGACCTTTATGAATCAGTAAGCACATGTTATAACAATCATTAAATGCGTTTATAGTACAAAACGAAACAGTTAACCTAATGGATAGGGTGTTGGTGCTATGAAAGAAAGGATATGGGTTCAATTCTCATCTCCAACATATTTTTGAGACCATTATATGTTTTTCTCATATTAACTAAAAATAAATATAAAATAAAATGCCAATGTGACATTAATAATAATAATAATAAATTAAAATAAAAAAAGCCGCTTGATCATCAAGTCAATAAAAAAAATAGAAATTATAAAAATACTTGTCACATTAGCTTTTTTGATGACTAGATGTCATGAAGGCAAAAAAAGAGAGAGTTTTCAAATGTTAGGAGAATTCTTGAGAGAAAAAAATTTTACGGGGGGATTTTCTAAAAACCACCTATATGATAGAAGATAAATGACTATTAACCCAATAATAGCAAAGATATTAATTAGACTCTCTCTCTATATATATATATATATATATATTACTGAATGCATACGGTATGACAAATGTGTTACTTTTTGGTTATAATTATTAGGCTATTAAGCTCTCTTGTTTATGAATTTAAAATTAACACTAATCATAATTGAATAAAAAATAAAGAGAATATAAAAGTAAAATCTTATAAAAATAATTCTTGAAAAACCCTCTCTAAATATAAGAAGAAAAAATGATAATAATATTTAATTCAATAGAGTATCTTCACTATAGAAAGTAGGATTACAAACTCTATGGATATAAAGTAGGATATAAGAGAATATCTCTTAATTTTACCTTACTCGAATGTATATAATACCTTTCAATTTTAGTAAATCTTGATTAAAATAATGTGTTCTTTCTCTCAATGAGGCTTAAACTCTTTTTTTTTACTGTCACTCTTGAATTGTTTCTCTAGATGAAACGATAAAAATTCTTCACAAAATATCTATTGTAGATGAATGGATAATCATTATTTAGATTTTCAAGACTTTTTAAAATTTTGTCTTCACATTTTTTAAATTTAAATTTGTACTTTAAAATTTTTGGTGTTAGAGAGAATAAGAATCAATAATAGAGTGTACACGATTTTCTTGCTTTGTATTATGATTCATTAAGCTTATATAGAGTGAGAGTTAGCCTCATGTACAAGATGGATTCTCCAAGTTAGTTACAACTTATAACTTAAAATTAGTTACATTCACTAACAACTATAACTAACCTTCTAACTATTTTAACTAATATCTATGAGCTTATCAACATGCATGAACCATTTATACTATGATATTCCCCCACAAATTCATGGTAGCTTGAGCATAGCAACCTTGAGTTTGTTTATGAAATTAGTGACCATATCACTTGGAAGAGATTTTTCTAACATGTCAGCAATTCGAGCATGAGCAGGAACGTATTG